CTCCGCGACCCCCCACTCCCAAGTCCCACGTTCTGTACCCACTCCTGCCGAGGGCTCTCCGTGACCCCGAGGACGGAGCGACTGGACTCGGGGAAGAGCCTCTCCCCCAGGCCTGGGCCGGGCACCTCCTTGACGGGGAACTGGAATGAGCGAGGGGGCGGGGCTAAAAACGGAGGTGGCTGGCGGTTGCTAGGAAACAGCGTCTCCGGAAGGAAGTGACTTCCCTACTGCCAGGTCTCTCGGGTACCCGACACCTTCTAAGGGCCCCACGCGTCGCTGGGGCAACCGTCCAGACGGAGGAAATGACGTCAGCCCTCTGGGTCCTGGGAGAGGTGTGCGCCTCGGCCGCCTGGGCTTCCGTTGTTGCCTAGGAGACAGGACCCGTCCCGCTCCCACTCGGGCGCCCAGAGCCTTGAGCCAGTGGAACGAGGGCCTCCATCCGCACCTGCTGCGTGAGCCAAAGCGTATTCTTCGTTTTGCCACAAATAGAACATGAAGCCTGTGACTCGGCTGACAGAATAGTGTACGGATGAATGGGACAGAATAGCACGACGGTGACGTTTGCAGACTCCGGAGTCTCACTGCAGGTTTGAATCTTGGCGCCCCTTCCCTATGCCCCTGTGAAGTCGTAAAAGTTAACATGTCTATGCCCCAGTTTCCTCGTCTGAAAAGAAAAAAGGGGGAGATAATAAGAGTGACCACCTTAACGCTTTGCTGGGTGTATACATGAAATAATACAGGTGGAATACTTGCAAGAGTGCCTGGGATTTAATTCAGTCAATATCAGATACACTCTTTATGCAACTCAGCCACAAAGCACCTAGACAGAAGTCATCCCTTGTCCACACTGCTGAAAACTCATTCCAAGTGTTAGTTTTTATTTGTGGGATCAGGAGAAGACTCATAGAAGGGAAATATCAGTATCTTAAGGAAAGACAATTCTGACCAACTACACTGTTTAAATGTGTTCATCAGCATCTGATGAGTGATGGAAGCTGGCTATTGTTAGTCAAATATACCAGTATGTATTCTTTTATATTGTCATGTAGAGACACATGAATTACTATATAGCAAGAGAAATATATTCAAACTCAGAACTTGTCATTCTAAACAAATTATTTTTGTTACCAGGGTAGTGTCTTTAGTTCAATGCTCTCTACAGATATTGTTCTAGCCAAGGATGCATGATCTGAACGGATACTCTCTCTACTCCCTGTATATTGCTGTCTTGTGCCTAGTATAATTCTGCATACTTTACTCCTATCATTTGATTCAGTCTTTCCTAAACTCTGTAAAATTTCTGCTCTTTATATCTACACGAGTGACCCAGTGCATGGATTCGTGCACATTGAAAGGAAATTAATTAGAAGGTGGCCAATGGGGTGGGAATGGGCCTGAGCCATGGATGGTGCGGGCAGTGGTGGTGGGGGGAGCCTCTTCCACATCTGGGGCAGCGCTAGGGATGTCCAACACTGCCAGCTTAGGCCCGCTTCCCAAGCCTAAGCCGTCAGTTGGACATCCCCCTAGGGCTCCCGGGCTGTGAGAGGGCACAGGCCAGGCTGAGGGGCAGCCCCCCTAACCGCACCCCCCTAACCGCCCCCCAGCACAGGAATTGGGCCTCTGGTAGATTAATAGGATAAAATGTTGCCAACTAAACTACAAATTTTATTTCTCACC